CTGGTGGCCATCTCAAGTCAAATACTGTTGCCAGCAGTTACCTTTGTGGGGTAGGAATTAGGAGGAGAGGAGCACAGCAGAGAAAATGATCTTTTTACATTAAAAGCCTTGTAGAACTATTTGACGTCTAAAAACTACATCTATATATGACTTTGATAAAAATAAAAACATTAACAAGGAACTTAAAACAGCGCCATACAAAAGGAAAAACATAGCAACAAAGGGAAAAATGTAACAGATGGCACTTGTCAGCATGCAGTGGGAGTTAAGTTGTTCTTTCAGCAGATGGCTGGACATGGTTGTAACCAAACTCCGCGATTTCCCAGTTACCATGAAGATTCTAAATACCCAACACCCCTCGATTTAAAACTATCAGGAATATGTAGTTGGTGTATTCAGCATTAATCAAGTGCAATGGCAAATTGACAAATTCAAGGAGTAGTAATCTTTAGAGAAACAGAACAAAGGAGGAAAAGGTTTCACCAGTTTGTAATTTCTTTCACTTTCATGTTTAAAAAGCATCACCCTCTTGGGTGGAATTTGGAAAAAAAAAAGTTATTTTAAGAATACAAAAGAGACAGTAAAAAGAATGTAGAGATTAATCAAGTGTTTGCTTCCACTGAAACCTCCGAGGGATTTTATTGTCCCGGGAGACGAGCGTCCAAACCCCCGTCTGTCCCTTCACAGATGGTGGGACGGTGATCCAGGACACCTACCGCCCCCTGCAGAAGCGAGGGTCCAGGCACACCTTGCCGCAGGGGCGGGGCAAACTCAGGCCCCATGCAGGAAGGCTTACCCTCTGTAATTCCACCTGTTAAAGGAACACCTTCCTCTTCCTCTCTGTCTGCACTCTAAAAACCGTCCTGATATCCACCCTTCCAGGGGTGACTTCCAAGCACTCAGTTACGAAGTGAAAATGTTTTCATCAGGCCCCCCCTTCCCCATGAGCAGTGCCTTCCCTCCCTAAGCCGTGTTCTCCTTTGCTAGAGAAAGGATACAGGACTGGGCACGGAGGGGGTTTCTCCCTGAAACACCGCTAGTGTCCCAGCAGGCCGTCGCTGCGCAGAAGCCCCAGGAAAGGACACAGCGGCTCCAGGAGGCCTCAGAGACACATGGAGGCCTCCGAACCCTTCCCAGACGCTGGCGGCAGAAAACTGGGGAGAAACGCACAGGGGTGGGATGTTTCCTGTTTTATCGCCACCATCTGTCGATGATGACAACTTAATTTGGAAGCGAGGTTTATGCCGGAAACTCAGCAGGACGACAATTATTCCTCTGGAAGCGGTGGGCTACTTGAACTACTTTTCTCATTTTCGGTTCTTATTAGTGAGAAATGAAAGTCATCGAAATCACGTATTTATTCAGGCATGTGCTTTCCTATGTTCTCTTCAGGTCTCCACATTAGCGAACCCTGCCAGGTGAGGGCGTTCGTTACTGCAGGTGCAACTGTCAGAGGCGCTGCCTCGAAATCAAACGTTTCGCTCCTCCCCTCGCATACTACACGACACAGCTTTATGTAATCAGTCGTCAGGAAAAAACACAAAATCAGTGATGGATGTTCCTGACATTTTTAACGGCATGTTGTACTTTTAAAAAATAAGTCTTTGTATAAAATTTGTTCCATCTTGCACGCTCTGATCCATGGCTTTCAAACCCCTTGTTCACCGTTACCCACTGTGAGAAAACAGTTTTACACGGTACCCCCCTTCCCCCACAACACACACAGATACCCTGACCCCATGCAGACTACACTGGCGTTTCCTGCTGAATTCTCCTCTCCAGTTCCACAGAAACTGCTGGTCAAGTCCCTCAATGACCTGGTCACTAACAGCAGACCACACACTGTAGTTGGACAAACGCTGTGGGATTTGGACCATACATACTCCCCTTCCTTGTCATTGTCACGATTGTCACACAGGGTCCAGGGCCGGGGTGGGGGCACGTCGACAGTGTCAGCAGCTTTGTGAAGGCATGAACCACCCAACCGATCTAACGTTTGGGGTCTAGGCGCCCAGCTAGCTCAGTGGGTAGAGTATGAGACTCATAAAATGTGGGGGGCCTGTGCCCCTGACCAGTGGACCTCTGTGGGGTACCCATCCTCTGGGGGACCCGTCCTGCAAAGCAAAAGGTGGCTGGTTCGATTCCTGGTCAGGGCACGTGCCTCGGTTGCAGGTTTAGTCCCCGGTCAGGGCGCATGTGAGAGGCAACCGATCAGTTTCTCTCCATCTAATAGAATGTTGAGGCTTGTGAAGAAATGACGTGGAATGACTGAGATGCTAATGCTATAATCAAAAAGGGAAACTACCCTAGCAGGTGTGGCTCAGTGGATTGACTGCTGGCCTGCGAACCAAAGGATCACGGGTTCGACTCCCCGTCAGGGTACATGCCTGCCTTGCAGGTCGGGTCCCCAGTAGTGGGTATGTGAGAGGCAACCACATATTGATGTTTCTCTTTCTCCTCCTTTCCTCTCTCTAAAAATAAATAAAGTCTTTAAAAAAAGAGACAATCCAAAATCCAATTTCTTCCACAGGATATTTATATACTGCAAGCAATACTTCATCTGTATGTTCTTTGATTTTATTTTCCCCCTTTTGAGAAGTTCTGGTGGGTTCTTTTCCAAATCTACTTGATAATTTTAATAGTTTGTTGTCCCTTAATTTCTTCTGAATGCTTAAGAGTCTGTGTAGTGTCCATATACCCTAGAGGCTCCCACACTCCCTCGATTTCTTCTCAGAGGCTCGCACCGTGCCTTGCTTCTGTGTACTGTGGGTTTTGACTGTGGGTATACATCCCAAGGACTCTATAACAGGGGCTTTTCTGGAGGGTGGGTTTTTATGGAGCAAATTTGTGGTCATTTCCACATTGCCAAGGGGCTCTACCTACTTCGTACTTTAAAATCCCATTTGGTTTTTTCAGATGGCCCCTGTGGGGAGGACTTTGGCCTGAAATCCAAGTCAGAGCTAACACATTCTAAGCAGTCGGAGAGTACGTGTGTATGTATTTACATTTTACCCCTCCAACCACACAAAGTTCAAGGTAGACACTTCCTCAGGGTCCCCACTGGGGATACTTCTCAGCCATATGCATGTGGGGGTGTGGGTGCACTGTGTGTGCGTGAAAAGAGAGAGAGAGAGAGAGAGAGAGAGAGAGAGAGAGAGAGAGACTATTCACCTGGGCCAACCCTGGACTTCACCTCCGGCCTTTCGGGACCCCCGAAGATCCAAAACAAAAGCTGTCCCTGACCTCTAGGTTCCGACTTCAACCTTTTAGACGGGGTGTTCCTTACCTCATTGTCAGCTTGTTCCAAACACGTTTTGCAATCCAGCAGTCTGAACAGTGTCCGGGAGGCTACACCCTGCGACCCAGACTGCGCAGGTTTATACGATAAAACCAACCCTTCTCCCTCAAGTCATTTGAAACAAACGTACGAAAACCACTGCGTGTAGTTCGGATTGTATTGCTTATTAATTATGCCATTCCGTACAACTGTTAGCAAACGGAGCTGGAGAAAATATCACACTCGGGAGTGTTCACGGTGACAGCGAGACCGGCGAGGGGAGAGAACACTGGGGGGATCACCAGAAGGTAGCGAGAGGCCCCGGCCACCACCGTCCCCCCGGAATCTGCCCTTTCGTACAAAAAGAGTAAAAATAGTTCATTGGCATCTTGCTAGCATTATTTTTTGTAATCTACGCACCACGATAAGCTTGCACAACTTCAGACTCTTCAGGGCAGAACACAGCACTTCCCCGCTAGCAGATGCAGCGGCTTGTTTCTTGAAGAAAAGCAGAGAAGCGGGTCCACACGACAAAAACCATGCACACAGCCCCACTCGAACATTGCCGCACTGCAGTGGCCCTGGATTTTAATGTTTCTGTCGTGTCATTTTAAGAAAGAAAATGCGATTCTGCTGGTAGAAATGAGAATACACTTCTTCACCATAATTACACCGACTTTCCAGTTCGAAAGACTTCAGTGCAGGCACTGCCGACCCGGTGGAGGCCGTGAACACAGCCCCACCGCTCCCAGGCCGAGCCCGTCAAGCTGCACGGGCGGAACCGAGGAGACGCAGCCCCCACCGAGTCCCCTGTCGGATGTCACAGCAGTGGCGCTGCCTGTGCTGGAAGCTGGGAGCAGGCGCAGAGTCGCTGCGAATCGCATGGGGACGCCAAGGACTCCCCGGGAAAATGGCACTGAGCGTTTCCCCTACTAGTGACTTTAAAAACACCCAGCATGCGCCACCGCTCAGCATCTGGAACACTCTGTCTTTAGCACAAAGATGCTCGGGTGAGCTGTACACTTGACCACTCGAAAAGCAGCAAAACTTGACATGTGGGTTGATGTCAAATCCTTTAGAAGACCTCGGTTACCAGACGACTAAAAATACACAGTAGCAGGTAAACAGAAATTTATTGAAACCGCCGTCCCCGACAGCACAACGATGAAACAGTGAGGCACCGTTTCCTCCCATCTGGGCACCTGCAGGGCAGGGCGGTTTCCCGCAGGAACCGGCGCCCCCGCTCGGGGGCCCTCCAGTGTGCCCGCCGGAGGCATCTCCTCCCAGTGCCCCCGTCCACGCGCCACGGACAGTGGTCCCGATCACAGTGTGACCCGCACCGAGGGGAGAGCACACACAAGTACCCGCTTATTGAAGACAAGGCGCTCGCCCTGGAAAAATGAAGAAAGGAGCTAGGAAGAGTATGACGGGTACAGCTCAAATACCAGGACCTGAACTTCCCTGAAGCAGCTGGTGCTCAGTGATGAGGGAAAGGAGACGACCGCCCAGGACGAGGAGCCCGTTAGTGCGGACCGCGCTGCGGGGTAGCTGTTTGCTCGTGCTCTGTGCCGCCCCCGGGGCAGGGGGTTGTGAAAAGGGCTCCAGACTTTAGGAAGATGCTCCCGTGTGCTAGAGCCAGATTACACGAATCAACACTGGTTAATCACCCTCCGTGTGTGTCCACTGGCAGAGCTCAAGAGGCTTCCCAAGTACACCGAAGAGGAACATTTCACCTTTTATTAAGGCAAGTTTGTGAAAATAATTTAATACAACCAAATCTCTTCATGAGCATTCAGCTTAAAACATTTTTTTATGTAAGAAACATACAAAAAAGTTGTTTTATAAAAAGCCACCTCACGGTGGGAAACGGGTGACGAAACACCGTGAACCCCGTGGACTGCGAACCCTGTGGACTGTGAACCCCCTCTCCTTCCAACGGACGCTCGTCCCTGGTTCCGATCCCCAGCGCTACTCGTCGTCTTTGGAGCCGGTCTTGCTCAACTGCGAAAGACGACAGAAGAGACAGTCACCAAGCTTGAGCTACCATTATCGAATTCATTATTTTCGCTGTGTATCAACAGTCAACTTTTATCGCTACAAGAGGCAACAAGGCTCAGTAACTTGCACCACGTCCAGCTCCCCCCACCTCTCTCTGCACTTACAATGGCCCCTCCGCAAACACCACCCGATAGAACAAGGGGGGGACCCTGGAAGCTTCCCAACATATAACATGGGACCAAGGACGTACAAAGGTGCCATCTATAAAATGAAGGATGGCTTCTTTTTTTGTCTCCTATTACAAACATATTCTTTTTTTTTTTTAATTTCTAAAATTTTCTGTTGTGGTAAAAAAAAAATGTAAGATTTATCATCTTAATCAGACAATTCTTGCAAGTATCACTTAGAAGCATTAATTGCTTGTGACAGTACTGGCATGCAAAACTCATTTCGTGAAGTCCTACAGAGACAGGAACTTACTGTGTTAAGTATCCGTTCAATACATTTGATGCTACAATTCGTGCAAGGAAAATATTGAGAGGAGTCGGCAGCAAAATTAAAAATGGAACGTAAACAATTTTAAAATTGTGTACTTGATAAAATTGTTTATTTGTTTCTTTGATAACCAAGAAAGATTATAAAAAATCTTCCTTGATAATGATGAGAAACTACAACTAGGGTCCGAACCTAAATGCAATACTTAATTTCTACTAAGAAATCAAAGTGTTTCTTTCTGTGACTTATTTGTGTTCTGCCATGTCGCTAATTTCGAGCCAGAGGTAAGCGTGTCCATTCTTAAGGTGAACTTACACGCACAGGCACACTTTGCGGAAGCTACAAATACTTACATGCTGCGGGCAAGACGGGAAGCAGATGCCCGGGTGAAGTCCGCATGTGGAGGGGGAGGAAACGAGAGAGAAAATATTCGTTACTCAACAGTGACAGTCATGGGCGTCTTGGGGGCCAGGACAGAGACGTCACGCACCTTCACCACGTCCACCCAGTTCCATCCTCGAGGGCGTTCTCCTTTGTGATCTGGAGGAGAGAAAGCAGACGCTGTATTTTTACGACCAAGCGGGAGTTTTTAAATTCATCACTATTCCAAGAAAGAAGATTCACGCACTACCCTGCACAGCGAACAGAGACGGGCTGAACTGACGCAGTGCCGAGCTGAAGAACTAGTCTGTCGTCGCCGCGGCCGACAGCCCTCTCTGCCCGGGCCCCCCTGCCGCGTGTCTCAGGGGCCCTGACTCACTCCCCGGTGCCCAGGCCAGACCTGGCGTCACGGGAGCAGCAGCGTGGAGGTGTGTGGGTGACGCCCGGAAGACAAACCCATCACCTACTGGCGTCACGCTCTCGCACAAAGATTCCCCAGCTTTGCACGAGCTCACGGCTTGTTTCAGTGGGGGGCTGTGTCAGTTCACTGTCTCATGTGCTAGTGTGTCAGGCGAGGACGTGAGGCTCAGGGCCAGAGGCCTTACAAACAGATGTTTGGCTTCAGATCAAAAGAGGACCTGGTCAACTTATTTACTAATTCCTGTGCTCTGATAAAATATTCATTAATTCACCTGACATTTTAAAACTAGAGCTTTAATCTGCTGGGAGTGCTTGAATATAAGCTCAACCCCTCTATAAGAATTTGTAATTTACAAAGTGATTTCGTTCTTTTAATAGAATAGTCAAATTTAAAGAATACTTTAATACATACATACAACCCAAACATTCTTCAATTTAAAATGGCTTGATTTTCTTTATGCTTAACATATCTTTATATCTCACTTTACGAGACTTTCACAATCTGTATTCGAAACAAGGACATTAACTTTACAGTCAGGGAAACAAACTAACTCCTCGATTCTTACAGAACAGACACAGTATTACCGGAGCTCAATTCCAGATGCTAATGGCTCCTTCCTCCTTCCTGCCAAGAAGAGTCTTCCCCACGGGTCACGGTCACAGTAATGAGAGGCATGGAGGCAGATGGCCAATCCCGGCAACCGAAGCCGGCCGCAGAGCGGTTCAGAATGCAGGCTCCACCCAGACTCCCACGCCTGCACTGTGACCGCAGGAGGGGAGCCACTCTCAGGTGGGCACCATCCAGGACCCCGGAGGTGGCGGCAGCAGAAGGGAACGACCTCAGGCCGTCACATACGGAAGCAATAGGTAATGAACCGGCAGATGCTAAGCACTCCAAAAAGCGGTTAACCGAAATTCGAGAACAGACTGCAGTAGCTAACGATTTACCAGTCAGTTGGTTGGTGGCGCTTTGACGCCGCTGTCATGGATTCCCGCATTCTTACCGTGCAGACCATTAAAATTTCACAAATGTCCTTTGAGGGCCCATCCAGGACTACTGTCTTTTTATTCTGCCACGGACACTGAATTAAACAGACAACCAAAAAACTGCCTGCACTTTATGAAACAAAGGGCATTATTTTAAAGCTCCGCGCCAAAGGAAAAGGGGCAGTCCTTCCCAATTGAGAGCAGCTTGTAACCTCACACCAGCAACACACACACAGATGTAAACTGTATGCTTATGTGTACACGTATGTAAATGTATGTAGGCACACATGGTCACGTCCTCACCCTCCTGAAGTGGGGAAAAAGGTTCATCGACGGATACCAATTTGCAAGTGTTCGGGCTAAACTAAGGGGTAAAACTCCGTCGTTGGTATGAGCTGGAGTTCACGACACTCTCTTCAAGGTCTCTGCCAAAGGACCCCTGTTGAAGACACACAGGAATTCTGTCCTCGAGTTCTACTGTTCTTGCGTATGGACGGCGATGGACAGAAACGCTGAAAACATTTCCTGTGCCAAGATCCGACGGCACACCCAGACTTCACTTCCCACGAAAGCTGCGTTTCAACAGGTTTTCAACCACCACGTCTCTGCCCCAGAGGTAGACAGACAGGTGAGTCCCACACGTCAGAGAGCATGCAGGTGGGACACACGTGAGAGAGGGTGCAGGAGGGACATGCATCAGAGAGGACACGCGTGCAGGCAGGACACACGTGTGGGCGATGCCCCGCTGTTCCCACGAGTCCACGCCCGTTCCCAGTCACTCGCCGCTCGGCCTCCCCTCCTGGGGGGTGATCCCGTGCGGTGCAGTGGGCCACACCTGCCGCAGACACCTGCGGCAGCGGCGAGCACGGCCTCTGACCCACGTGTGCCGAGAACGGGGAGGGCAGACTCATCTTCTGAACACACTCACTAAGCACCCATATGGCAGCAAACAGCCACACCTCTAGTTGTGTTCCCAAAGGGAAAAAAAAACAAAACAAACAAACCTGTTTTATCGGCCAGCTTCCGTTTCTGGGCTTTGGAAAGTTGTTCTCTTTTGTCTTTTTTCTTGCTTGACGGGGCTGCATTAGGAGTTTCAACCGAGATGATATTGCTTATGGATGTCTGGGGGGAAAAACAATCCTCAGACCCGTGCCTTAAAGCCGACCGAATGACACACACACACTACGGCTACACCCCGCAATGCGCTGGCGCTGCTGAGACCCGAGAAGTGAGAGGACCCCACGCTGCTGTCTTCACCCTGAGCTCGGGCGCCCTCCAGGCACGGGCCCCGCCTCGCCCCCCCACCCCCACCCCCAGAGCCCACTCCGGAGGGCACGGATTAGTGCCGCTGTGGGGGCAGGTCCCTCGGGAAGCAGGCCTGACACCAGCAGTGTGCTGAAGCTCTCTGGTTCCAGGGTGAGTCTACTATGTAGCTCGTTTGCTATTATTTGGAAGTTTAAGTAAGCCTTTAGAAAAACCACACATGCCTACTTAATGATCCCGATTCCCTGAGGAAACGAAGGAAATCTTTAAAATCTGGGGTGCGTAAATAACAATAACAACACAAGAGTAAACTCTGGGTTTTGTGTACTCGCAACTGCAAACCTCCTTTTGCCCCCCCCGGGCCCTGGATCTCAGTTCCCGCCATCAGAGCTTACGACAGGCGACATGTACAACATGTACAATGCTCACCAGGGGCGAACGTCGCTGGGAAAGGCGTACGTTTCATGCTCGCTCCACCCTCACTGCAATTGTGTAAGGTCGATACTATCCCAACTGCCACTTTCCGTGGAGAGAAACCGAGTGCAGTGAGCTCACGAAGCCTGCCGCAAGTCAGCCAGCACGTGGCGCTGAGGGCCGAGCCCGCGCGGTCCGGCCCCCAGTCCTTGGCCTCCGCCGCCCCACCGCCTCTCCCACTGTTCCGAGCTCCGCGGGGACGTGGAGGCCAGAACCGCTCAGGCACGAGACCTGGCCGTTGCTGCCGAAGATCACGGCTCTATTCACACGACAAAACTCAAGTCCTACTGGTCCCTGGAAAGTCTTCCGTGCAGAACGTGGTGCAGAGGGGCTGATACACACTCACGCTCGTAAAAGATGATTATTTCCTAAACAATTCTAGAAAATACATACTGTTCTTATTTAATCAGTCTGCTTAAGCGGCAATGCCTTCAAACTGAACTGCGGCAATACACTATTTACAAGTAAATAAACCTCAAAAAGTTTCATATATATATTAGCTCTATGTAAAAAGTCTCTCTGAGCTTTCTGAAGAGGTTAATTAAACCTGAAAAAATACTGTTTCTGCAACACCTCAGTTTTGGCGGGTACGTGAAGCATCCGACTCTTGCAGAAAGGGGGTAGCATCTGGAGAGTGTAATTTTGAAAGTTACGTAGAAGCTAAGAGATCTAAAATTCACTGTCCTCATGTAACTCGGGTGTAACTCACGTTAACACAAAGTCTCCTTCTAAATGTTAGAGGGTAACAGCTGGTACCAATGGACGCGCAATAAAAGCCACACGGCACCAGAGGCGGCGGCGCTCACCGGGGCGGGCACGGCGGGGCGGTGGTGCTCCATGAACTGCTCGCGGTGGTCCTTGGCGTACTCGAACAGCGTGTAGGTCATGGCGGTGCCCAGGTTCACCTCCACGGCCTCCTGCAGCTTGGCCACGATGCTCTGCTTCACGGCCGAGGATCTGCAGCACACAAGGCATGGACCGCTAAGAGGAAAGCCACAGGGAATGTTTAAAAAAAAAAAAGCAATGAAAACAAGGCATCACTGCTCACATGGTGTTGTTGAAAAAGGCGTTCATAGATATGATCGGAGGCGTCTGGGGATACGTGTCTGTCCAGGAAATCTCTATTAAGAAGGCTTTGGGATCACCGTTTTCACCTATCTGGAGAAAAGGGAAATCTTAGGCTTGTAAACAGGGACACCGAGACAGAGTATTACATTACGATCTCTAAAATGACGGTTTCTTTCCGGTGGTCAAGGTCAGTCAGACGCGTGAGCCTGAGGAGTGCAGGGCACAGGCTGGGGCGCAGCGGGGTGGGCGCAGGCTCTCAGCGCTGGTCCACCCCAGCAGCGTCCACTGCTGCCCATGGCCTGTGTCTCGGGCCGGCCCCTCCGGCCGTCCCCAGGGCCCAGACGCTGCCTCCTGCGGGCAGCTGCTGTTTCAGCAAAGCTCTCAGAGGACAGACACCCACCGTGAAGGACAGGGAGAGAATGGGCGGGAGTGATAACCCGCAACCCTACAATGCCTCGTCTTGGGCTCGAGTTTTCCCACAGCTGAATCATTAGGGGCATCAAGAACAAGTAAACTGATGTTAGCACAGTTCCAGCAGACTCGAAGATGAAACATAAAATTCAGAGAAAAAGGGAAAAGGCACAGAGACGAGGAAAAAGACACCACCTTAGGCTAAACAGCCAACTCCTGGGTAATTTTTTCCTATTTATCTATAATTCAGGTGTAGCTGACATATAACACTGTGTTAGTGCCAGGTGCATGACAATGATTCTGTATCTGTGCATTTTGTGAAATGTTCACCGTAACAAGTCTCGTTAACACCTGTCAGCACACACAGTGATGTACTTTTTCCCTTAGGATGAGAACTACTAAGATCTGCTTTCTCAGTGCCTCTCAGAGCCACGATACGATGTGACTGCCTACGGTCGCCGTGCTGTGCCTCGCACCCCCAGGACTCATTTTTAACTGGCAGTTTGTACCTTTGGGCCCCCTTCACTTGAATACTATGAAGATGTCTTTTCTGTTTCTTTTGCTCTCCCCAACGTTTTAGTTTGAAAATGTTTCATTGTACAGAGAAATTGAATAGAACACTGAACACTCACTGATGTATATCTCATGTACTAAATGTCTCTTACTTTTATCTACCGAGGGGGACCCTGTCCCGCAGTGTCCCCCAGCGCTGCGGATGAAATGAATGACTGCTAACACACGATCTGCTTGGGGAGAAAAGGCTGGCTCACCTCTCAGAGGAGAAGAGCCCCGAGTACCCTTTTCCTTGGGCTTTTATTAAGTTTAGCTTGCACAGGGATACATATCAAAGAAAGGCATGGTTTACAGATAACAGTTCTGGGACCTGAGGGTCCTTTTGAGTCAGGGTCTGGTAGACAGAGTGACGCCAATCGACGATAAAACCTGGAGACACAAACCCATTTTGGGCTCAGACCCTAAACGTTTTGTTTGCATGGCTTGAGGGCATTCCTAGCAAAGCAGCGTTCACAGGATCACCATTTAATTCACCATTTAATGCATTCTTTCTCAGGCCAGATCACCCCAGAAACCGCCCGTTCCAGCACAGGGCTGCACCCCGGAGGCCTTGTTGCAGGCCTGAGTCAGGTGGGGGAGCAGGGTAGCCGAGAGATTAGGAGACTTTTTACAGACAGAGTAAAGACTCAGGCTATACCAAAGTCAAGGGGTGAAGGTTCGTCATCCCTTCTCTGAAGTCCCCTAAGACCTTCCCTGGTGGTCCCTTCATGACTGTGCCTGTCTTAGGTTGTTGCTCCCTTGAGGAATCTTACCTGTCATTGGCTAACCAGTCATGCGCCCGGGGCCAAGCAGGGGATGTGAGGGGACAGGTCTTTGTCTCCTCGGTGGGTTGTGTCCCTAAGGGCTTTCCACTCAGCCTTAGCTGTGGGAGGCTACAGCTCCTGAAAGCAGGCAGGGCGGTTCCCGACAATCTACTTCTCTTCTTCTCCACTATAGAATCATGCCCCACCCCAAATATGTGTGAGACTTTTTTCCTTTGGTTTTTGTTGAACCATTTGAAACTGAATTGCAGACACCATGAAAACGTTTGCAGATATTTACAGGTAAGTATCCAAACAATAGGGATATTGTTCTTTATAACTATGATACCATTCTGACACCCAAGATGTCTAACACTGCTGCAAAACATCGTGATCTCACTCATGATCCACATGAAAAGTTCCCCGATCACACCTAAAGTGTCCTTCCATAAACTGCCCCCTCAAACCACACTGGAGGGGGTGACTATAAAGAAGTGACTTCCTGTGAGAGTTCCATAATAAATGTGTATAAGGGTCATGTCTCATACAATTTATTTCAGACACAGACAATGTTACCACATGTCTTTCACAGAAAACTTTTCTATCTATACCACTGTTACTTGTAATCATTTGGATAAATGGTTTTTATCATTTGTTTATAAAATAAAATAGTGGTACTGTTATGTGATGAAAATGGCAATGAGCAACTTCCATGATAGAGATTAATCAACATCTCACATACGTAAAAAATACTCAGACCTATTAATCATACAGAATTAAGAGAACATCAACTTTTCCTGACTACACCACAGGACAGTAAAAAGAGTAGTAGACTCCTAATAAAGACCTGGATCTTAATCCTAATTTTTATCAATATCAGCTACAGGAATTTGGGAAGTTTTGAGTGAGAAAAGTTATCTTTCAGATGACAAGGTAAAACCATACAATTTAAAAGGTTTCTTTAATCTCTAACACGTTCTAGTTCTGGTACCATAGAGACAAGTTTATCTTTTTAAAAGTTTCTGAATTATATGTTCAAAAGTTAAAAAAAGGGACATCATGGTGATGTGTCCTCCTTTAAATGTGGCAGGAAAACCGGACAGAAATGCAAACCACTAAATTCAAAGACGAAACCGGCATTTTTAGCAACCGTCAGCCTTTGCTGGCAAAGCAGCCCTGCTCACGCCGCGTCTTACCCTGTACTGGAACGAAACCGGACTCAGTTCCCGGAAGCTCTCATCCCCTTCATATATGGAACGCAGTGCCTCCAGTTCCATCTGAAAGAAATGAATCACATGCATTTTGTCTAGTGGAACACCTGGGTGGGAAGTAGAGCCTCTTTAGTTTCTGATTCAAGCCCACTCCACTGCGTAACACTCGACTGAATTACATGGCCTTGGATGTGTTCGATGTCCGTGGATATACTCACTCCAAAACTACGTGCCAGGTACCACTAAGATTTGCAGTGCATAATCTCACTTAATTTTCACATCCATCCTGTGAAGCAAAGCTCGCTATTTTATTTTCTCCTTCCTACCGGGGTCGGGGGAGGCAGAGGGGGAAAAGATTTGGTGTGAAGCAACCCCAGAGCACGCGCCCTTTATCACTCTGCTAAAGAGCAGCCTGGGCTGGAAAGAACGTGAAAGAACGTTACTTACGTATCTTACCTTTGTAATCCTTCCCACAGAATGATACCAGACTTGAAAAAACACTTAAGGACAATAAAAAAGCACTTTGAAAAAAAATGATAGTTAGAAAAAGGCGAATAAGCGTCCTCCCAAGACGGGGACACGGACTGCAAATGAAAATGTAACTAGTGACCCCTGCCTGGAAACATTTCCTAGAACACTGTGGGCTCACAGGGGAGAAGACTCAGTTGCTGTTGTGATTACGGATGAGCACCTGCGAAGAGACGCCAGGAATGCCTGTACACTTGGGTGCGGATTTTAACTTTCAAAAAAAAAAGAAAAGCATGTCATGAATTCTACCAACTAAAGGTGGGTGGATTCGATCGATCTATGTGGACAAAATTTTAGAACGGATTATTAAAGAAAGTGTTTGTGACGACCTGGCCAAGAGAGGAAGAAGTAGATCCCAGGACCTAACAAGCATATGAAAAATAACGTACATGTAAACAACCCTCTCAGAGAGGGTACCGGACTGGCACACGAGGGAAAGGCTCAAAGGTGTCCACCTGGGTTCCGGGAAGGCTCCACAGATTTCTCTGGTTACTTTTACAGGAGTTCAAACTGGATTCAAGAGTAACTGAGATTACAGTGAAACAAGCAAACTTGTTTGTAAACGTTTTCCTATATTTTAATTAATGACCTGGACAAGAACAAAAATTGAAGGCAGGCTTGCCAATTTGATGGGACAGTGAACCATGCTAGTGGCGGGCCAAGAATTCAGACAGTCCTGGAAAAACAATCTAGCATTACAGTACAGGCTCCACGCGTCCCAGTAAGAACTGTCCATGTCTTGGCTTAGAAACGCACCTGGCAAGAATATTTGAGAATGGATCGAGATAGCAACTCACTTGTTGGAATCTGGGGTCCTTTACAGGTAATTTATAATCTAGAGATTCTATTACATGCACCCTGTAAAAGTCCTAGATTTCAGGCAATAGAGTCTAAATGAGTATTGAACTAGTTACCTAAGGAGACTCAGATTCTAGTCCTGATTCTACCAATGCACAGCCCTGGGCAATCGTTTGACTTCCTACATCTTCCCTTCATCCCTCCACATCAAAAGTTAGAAGGTTCCTCTGGAGATGACTCATAGCATCTCCTTCAACTTTAGGTATGCTCAAAACAGACTTCGTAAGTATACACTGGACACAAAGCATCAGATGGGTAAGAAAGTCTACCGGACAATATTGCCAGAGCCAGGGGACACTGGAGTCATTATTGTCCTCCATCAGAGATTTAACTAACTCAATTAACTTTCCCTACAGGCTAACAGATTTAGAATTTAAAGGTAATCAGATTCTAGTAAAATAACTCACTTCACAAGCTCTAAACAACATACGGCATTTAAGGCCAGCCAAGGCCACCGGTTCGCGGACCAAAGACACTCCTTGTTGCTATCAGAGATACCTGGGGCGACCCCGGGCCAACAACAAAATTGAAAACTGCTGGGATGGGGGAGGGGAGGCAGAGGCGGACGCGCGCCTGGCCTCTGCTCCCAGGGCACCGGTCCACCTGTGGCACCCCCGCCAGGCTGCGTCCGCTGTAGGAGCGATGGCACGTGCGGGGCCGCTAGTCCGAGAGCCGGGTCTCACCTGGGCCGGGGGTGGGGGACAGCAGCCCTCCCTGGGATCTGGGCACCGCGCCTGCGCGAGGACAAGCGCGTGCAGCCCCGGGACTCACCTCCTGGTCCTCATTGGCACTCATCGCGCGGGCCGCGGGGCGCCTCGCGGGCCGGGGGACGGCGTTCGCGACAACAAGGAGTAGGCGCGAGCAGTGGCCCCGAGGGCAAGACGTCCCGGTTCTGCGCCCTCGGCTGCCGGATGCACACCCCTTACACCCTAGACGACAGTCACGCGCACCTTTGGCCCTTGGGCGGCGCAAAACCTCCTGCTAAAGGGCTGTGGGCACTGAGCCCCGGGCCGCAGCTGGCGGGGCGCCGGCGCGTCCTGGGACAGACAGCAGGGCAGTCACGAGAGAGGCTCCACCTGCTCTTCCTCTTCGCTTCTCCTATTGGCTCCTTCTGTCTCAGCCCCAGCTCCAGCTCTGCTAGGAAATGGTGCGTCTTCCCTACGTTTTGTGGAGCCGCGTACAGACCTGGGTTAGCGATTGGTGCAGAGCGCTGTCACTCAGGGCCGGAAAGCACTTCCTGTGCCGGCGCAGGTAGGCAGAGGGAAGTCTAGTTTGCTGGAACCGCCTTTGTGGCGGTGGCTTCGGGAACCGGGCCCCGGCGTTCCTAGACTCCCCTGCCTGCTTCCCCTCGTCCTCCCCCGGCTGGGGGCGACCGGCTGCAGCTGCAGCGGGCCCAGTGGGCACGGCCTGGGTGAGTCTGGGCCCGGAGACCTGCGGGGCCAGGCGACCCCGCCGAGGGAGAGAGCTAGCTCCTAATTAACAATGCCTGTTTGGGGGGCCTGCGTGTTCCGACGGCGTCGGCGGGTGCAATTCGGGCATTTCTCCTTTAGCCCCTACGGACCTATGGTTTAAGGCTTTAAGGCTCTAGGTTTAAGGGGGGATTGGGACGAAGATAAGAGCCCGCTTTTAGGGCTGCAGCGTTATTTCTCCAGCCTTTTCTGATTGGCTGCCAGGGCAGAATTCTGCGCCCCTGAGACGGTGCCACTTAATCGGTTGTTGTTCCATATCCTCAACATCACCTTTTATTTTTCATCATCCAGGCCTCAAACTGTCGTTCCTCTCTTGGTCATTTTGTAGTTGAACGTCTATGAACTTTACCCTGACTAGCCTTGCCCTGCACCCTGAACCTCTATTAATTAAAAAATAGGGACCACATGAATTTATGTTCCACTTTGAGTAGGTCGCCTTTCTTTGCATTGTGTCATCATCCTTTGCAAGAGCCTTCGTTGTTATCTTCCATACCAGCGTCGGAGTACTTCCCTTGCAATACACGTATCTCTTCTAGGGTGTTCACTCACTGCCTCCGCACCTGCTTCCACGTCACTGGCTTCTTCCAGGAGACAACGAAATTCCGCCCGCGGGTTGTCATCCGGATCCTTAACACCTCTGTGCCTGGCGCTTGTGCCATTCCCATTGCTTTCCTGCAGAATAAGCACGACCCATTTCAAGTGCCAAAAATTTTTAACGTAGAACGTGGCAGGAATTTGGGGGACAGAATTACAATAATTTAGAGCTGCGCTGTCCGGTATGGTAGCCGGTAGCCAGTAGCCGTATGTGGCAGCTGAGCATTTGAGTGGAGATGTGCTGTGAATGTACAGTACACACCAGATTTTGAAAACTTGGTACAAAAAAGGTAAACTACCATGTTAATAACGTTTGTAGTAATGTTGAAATGATAATATTTTGGATATGTTGGTTAAATAGAACATTATTGAGATTAATTCCAGCTGTTTCTATTTTTTTAGTGTGATTGCTATAAAATGCAGAGAGATGACGCAGCATGGTTGAATCTGCACCTGTGGAATCAGGGATGTGCAGGGCCGACTCTGTTTAGAGAATTAGCATATCATTTTAATAATTTCTCAGGAATTCAGAAGTTCGGTGTTAGAAGTTAGAGAAATTACAGATAATTATACTTTATTGTATACCTAAGTCAATAATTATAATTATTTTTCTATGCAGCTGAAGTAGCTCCTGAGACCTATTGTAATCTGATGACGTTCCTGCTTTCTTGGTCTGCTCATCCCCAAGTTTTGTGCACATTTGGAGATGTTACTGGAAATGTTGATTTGTCTTAAAGTTCACTACCTCTGTAATACGAAAGATTTTTTTTTTTAAATACAATACCAGTAGTTACTAAATTTCAGTAGGTCAGTATAGGAATTAAAACTTTTCAGAAATTTTGATCTTTTTCGTGTTTGCTCAACAGTTTGCAGACATTTCAAAGTCTATTACCTTTTTGTAATGTTTATTTTTTTAAACCCTACTTTTTTTTAAATTAGAATTATTTTAAGAGGTTTTATTTATTTTTAGAGAGAGGGGGAGGGAGGGAGAAAGAGAGAAAAACAGCAATGTGTGAGAGATACATCAGTCGGTTGCCTCTCACACGCCCTCAATCGAGGACCCAGGAATGTGCCCTGATTGGGAATTGAACTGGCGACCTTTCAGTGTATAGGCTGGTGCTCAAATCACTGAGCTACATCAGCCAGGGCTATAATGTTTTTTAAATGGTGAAGATTTATGTATTAGAAGTGTAAATGGGCTTTTAACATTTGTATTTCAGAGTTGTCCTCACGCTGTGATCATGAGCCCCACGCAGTGGGACTTCCCTGTGGAGTTATGTTGCCGGCCTATGGCCTTTGTCACTCTGACGGGCCTGGATGTGGTGTACAACGCTGTCCACCGAACCGTCTGGGATGCTTTCTGTGCCAATCGGAGGGCTGATCGGGTACCGATTTCTTTCAAGGTGCTACCAGGTGACCACGAGTATCCCAAATGTAGGCCCAAGGTAATGACATTGTGATTGCGTGCGGGCTGTCCTCCCTCTCTCCTCTGTGTGTGGGTATATTTTTCTGTTCCTGTGGCCTGTGCTGGAAAACCCCTGAGTTTATCAAGGTGATGGTTACCGTGATGCGTGGAGAAACCCTGGGCTTTTCATGTCTGTAATACACTACAGGTGTGTTTAGTGCTAGTTGTTTTTTAACCCCAGAGGAATAATTACTTTATAATTATTAAGCTTTTTATCCCATGAGCCTAGGGTTTCCTTTTTGCATTTGCTTAAAAACAAACAAACAAACCCAGGTCTCCATAAAGGCCTCCTAAGAGGAAGGTTTCACACTCCCTGTACATCATTGCCAGTTTCACTGCAGAATCCATGGTCCTCACCCTCCGGCTCAGTTTCACACACAGTCTTGGAGCGCTGGCTTCGTGTGAGGCACCCGGAGCTGTGCAGTGGCTGGTGATGGGGATTTAAACAGGGCGTGAGTAAGACACGCCCTCTGTCCTTGGGGAGTTCTGCATAAACTGAAACCACTCATTCAGTGTGGAGCGAGGAGGGGTGCTAGTTCAGAACTGACTTTCAGGGTGAGCATCATAGTAGAGACCCTTATTTACCTAAAGAAATAATGATGATGATTATGTAGTATTAATAATCGCAGCTAATACATACATAGTACTTTGTGTGTCAATTTACTTTTTAAAGGAAGTTGTGTATGTTGGTCGGTTATTTATTATAATCCTATGAGGTTGATCTGAAAGTCAATTAACAAGGCACATGGATCAAAATATCCTCCCCCAGACCCCGACTTCTTTCCCCTACAGTAGTGTTTCTGACAGTCTGGCCATGGGACCAAGTATGTTGTCATCACTCGGGGTGTTTGCTGAAAGTGTAAACGCCAGGCCTCAGGTCAACTCTGGGAGGGCGGGACCGATGGCTTTGGTCGCCAGCTGATCCCTTTCTTATGTGTGAGAACCACGCACTGAGGACACAGTTTTGTACACTGAGCCATAAAAATTGAACTCTCTCTGAAACTGTGCAAGTAACCGCACCCCTGGCCCTTACACTTTTTATTTTTTGAAGTGGTGCTTGTGTCAAGAAAGGCCAGCGGCCCAGTACGACTCATGTGCATTTCTCCTTGGTTAATTTTCCAGTTCAGGAGCTTTTTAGTTCCCTTTTTCTGGTGCTTTGCTGAGTCTCCAAGTTTTTCTGTGTCCGGTTTCCTTACTGTTCTGGTCGTTCCCCACTTGTAGCAGTGATCAGAGCACCGTGAGCTGGAGGTAGTCGGTGTCAGTGTGGGGAGTGATGTGAGGGTCAGCTGAGCTCTCTGGGGCTCGCTCCCACGTCTGCCGCCTCCCCTTCCCACCACCGGTCCTTCGTGCGCTGAGCCCCAGTGGCTGCGTGGGGCTTCTGTGTTTAAGGATTGTCCTTCGTTTCCCCCTCCATCCTCAAGTAAGGTGAAATGCCATCCTGCAGTGTGTCTCCAAACAAATGGGGCCATGTTCGGTTTTGCATAATAGTTTATTTGAGCAATTTTTACAAACAGAAACTGGAATGGTAAGGAATAGAAGTCGACTTTACCTGGAAAAGGGCTGTTTGCTTCCAGGGTATTTGAGAGCCGTGACATCATGAGACACGCTTGGCTTTCATCATTCTTCAGATGGGAATCGTTGCAGCTCTGGGGCTGAGGTTCTAGTTCTTTCTTGATCTCTGTAAGCTGGCATTGCCTCATCTTAAAGATGGCCAGTGTGCCTACCCAGTGAGATCTGTGCCCCTTGGGGGTGTGGGGCCCAGAAACAGGTGGTTTCTGCTGCTGTTGCATTCCAGTAACCCTTCGACCTCTGCCACCACCCGCAGAGAACCTCGTATGAGTGGTACATCCCCAAAGGGATCCTCAAGACGGGCTGGATGAACAAGCACCTGAACCTGGTGCCGGCCCTGGTGGTCGTGTTCTACGAGCTGGACTGGGATGAGCCTCAGTGGAAGGAAAAGCAGTCGGAGTGCGCCACCCGAGTGGAGATAGTCAGGTCTGGTCGCCCCGTGCGTCGCGTCGGCCGGCCTAGGTTGTCCGAGTCTGCTGACCGCTCGCGTTGAGCGCAGGCAGCCAGCAGGGCGCTGTTTAGACCGCGGAGGTCCCTCTGGGGACTGCTGACCCCCGGGGAACGTGTGCAGCTCCAGGCGGGAGGCTTTGCCGTTAACTTACAGAACGCCGAGCAGGGTGCAAGGCTTGGGAGACAAGCGGGCCTGAGTTTCCAAACGCCTTTTCCAGCATTTATAATGTGTGTTTGAAGATGCCGTAATTTGCTTGCGAGTTGCGCGCTACTTTTGCTCTATCACCGCTTCAGTTTCAAAGTAATTCTTTTGAACGGCTACTCTGTGATGTTTCACTGTAAAGATACTGTATTATAACTTATACGTGAAAGTATATATTAAACTTTTGCTCTCAGAATAGACTTTTGTAAGGATTAGGAGCTTGATGTGAGATGCTTTTTTTGGAATTTAAATCATTGTGGCATATATGTTTCGTACATACGGGAAAAGATTTTCTCTTGGGAGCTTTTTAGTTGAAATTTATCTATCTTTGAATTATCAAACTTATA